AATCATGAAAATAGAGAATTTTATTTAAATTTTAAGTAGTAGCAGGTTACCCGTACGCTTCAGACAATCGAAATTTGAAAAAAAATCATTATAAAATTAATTTCTTTCCAAATTTAAGAATCTAATCATCTAAAAAGTTACTGAGTTCTAGTAGGGACTGAGCCTAACACAATCCTGAAAAATACAGAATTTTATTTCAATTTTAAGTAGTAGCACCCTCACCGAACGCTATCAGACAATCAAAATTTAGTAAAAAAGTCATTAAAAACTTATTTCTTCCAAATTTAGGAATTCTAATCATCTGAAAATTACCTGAGTTCTAGTAGGGAATAAACCCTACACAATTCTAAAGAATAGAGAATTTTATTTAAATTTTTAAGTAGTAGCAGTTCCACCCGTACGCTATCAGACAATCAAAATTTGGTAAAAAGTCATTAAAAATTTATTTCTTCCAAATTTAAGAATTCTAATCATCTGAAAATTACCTGAGTTCTAGTAGGGACTGAACCCTACACAATCCTGAAGAATAGAGAATTTTATTTAAATTTTTAAGTAGTAGCAGGTCCACCCGTACGCTATCAGACAATCAAAATTTAGTAAAAAGTCATTAAAAATTTATTTCTTCCAAATTTAGAAATTCTAATCATCTGAAAATTACCTGAGTTCTAGTAGGGACTGAACCCTACACAATCCTGAAGAATAGAGAATTTTATTTAATTTTTTAAGTAGTAGCACCCTCACCTGAACGCTATCAGACAATCAAAATTTGGTAAAAAGTCATTAAAAATTTATTTCTTCCAAATTTAAGAATTCTAATCATCTGAAAATTACCTGAGTTCTAATAGGGACTGAGCCTTACACGATCCTAAAGAATACAGAATTTTATTTCAATTTTTAAGTAGTAGCAGGTCCACCCGTACGCTATCAGACAATCGAAATTTGGAAAAAAATCATTAAAAATTTATTTCTTCCAAATTGTAGAATTCTAATCATTTTAAAATTACCTGAGTTCTAGTAGGGACTGAGTCTAACACAATCCTGAAGAATAGAGAATTTTATTTTAATTTTTAAGTAGTAGCACCCTCACCCGAACGCTATCAGACAATCAAAATTTAGTAAAAAAGTCATTAAAAACTTATTTCTTCCAAATTTAGGAATTCTAATCATCTTAAAATTACCTGAGTTCTAGTAGGGACTGAGCCTAACATAATCCTGAAGTATACAGAATTTTATTTCAATTTTTAAGTAGTAGCACCCTCACCCGAACGCTATCAGACAATCAAATTTAGTAAAAAGTCATTAAAAACTTATTTCTTCCAAATTTAGGAATTCTAATCATCTGAAAATTACCTGAGTTCTAGTAGAGACTGAGCCTTACACAATCCTGAAGAATACAGAATTTTATTTCAATTTTTAAGTAGTAGCACCCTCACCCTGAACGCTATCAGACAATCAAAATTTGGTAAAAAGTCATTAAAAATTTATTTCTTTTAAATTTAGGAAATCTAATCATCTGAAAATTACCTGAGTTCTATTAGGGACTAAACCCTACACAATCCTGAAGAATAGAGAATTTTTTTTAAATTTTTAAGTAGTAGCAGGTCCACCCGTACGCTATCAGACAATCAAAATTTGGTAAAAAGTCATTAAAAATTTATTTCTTCCAAATTTAGGAATTCTAATCATCTGAAAATTACCTGAGTTCTAGTAGGGAATGAACCCTACACAATCCTAAAGAATAAAGAATTTTATTTAAATTTTTAAGTAGTAGCAGGTCCACCCGTACGCTATCAGACAATCAAAATTTAGTAAAAAGTCATTAAAAATTTATTTCTTCCAAATTTAGGAATTCTAATCATCTGAAAATTACCTGAGTTCTAGTAGGGACTGAACCCTACACAATCCTGAAGAATAGAGAATTTTATTTAAATTTTTAAGTAGTAGCAGGTCTACCCGTACGCTATCAGACAATCGAAATTTGAAAAAAAATCATTAAAAATTAATTTCTTCCAAATTTAAGAATTCTAATCATCTCAAAATTACCTGAGTTCTAGTAGGGACTCAGCTTAACACAATCCTGAAGAATACAGAATTTTATTTTAATTTTTAAGTAGTAGCACCCTCACCCGAACGCTATCAGACAATCAAAATTTAGTAAAAAGTCATTAAAAATTTATTTCTTCCAAATTTAGGAATTCTAATCATCTGAAAATTACCTGAGTTCTAGTAGGGACTGAACCCTACACAATCCTGAAGAATAGAGAATTTTATTTAAATTTTTAAGTAGTAGCAGGTCTACCCGTACGCTATCAGACAATCGAAATTTGAAAAAAAATCATTAAAAATTAATTTCTTCCAAATTTAAGAATTCTAATCATCTAAAAATTACCTGAGTTCTAGTAGGGACTGAGCCTAACACAATCCTGAAAAATACAGAATTTTATTTCAATTTTTAAGTAGTAGCACCCTCACCCGAACGCTATCAGACAATCAAAATTTAGTAAAAAGTCATTAAAAACTTATTTCTTCCAAATTTAGGAATTCTAATCATCTGAAAATTACCTGAGTTCTAGTAGGGAATAAACCCTACACAATTCTAAAGAATAGAGAATTTTATTTAAATTTTTAAGTAGTAGCAGTTCCACCCGTACGCTATCAGACAATCAAAATTTGGTAAAAAGTCATTAAAAATTTATTTCTTCCAAATTGTAGAATTCTAATCATCTTAAAATTACCTGAGTTCTAGTAGGGACTGAGCCTAACACAATCCTGAAGAATACAGAATTTTATTTCAATTTTTAAGTAGTAGCACCCTCACCCGAACGCTATCAGACAATCAAAATTTAGTAAAAAGTCATTAAAAATTTATTTCTTTCAAATTTAGGAATTCTAATCATCTGAAAATTACCTGAGTTCTAGTAGGGACTGAACCCTACACAATCCTGTAGAATAGAGAATTTTATTTAAATTTTTAAGTAGTAGCACCCTCACCCGAACGCTATTAGACAATCGAAATTAGGAAAAAAATCATTAAAAATTTATTTCTTCCAAATTTTAGAATTCTAGTCATCTCAAAATTACCTGAGTTCTAGTAGGGACTCAGCTTAACACAATCCTGAAGAATACAGAATTTTATTTTAATTTTTAAGTAGTAGCACCCTCACCCGAACGCTATCAGACAATCAAAATTTGGTAAAAAGTCATTAAAAATTTATTTCTTTGAAATTTAGGAATTCTAATCATCTAAAAAATACCTGAGTTCTAGTAGGGACTGAACTCTACACAATCCTGAAGAATAGAGAATTTTATTATACGATTAAACGAACTTACCTATGTGAAGTTCAATCGTAATTATACGACCGCCTCGTTCGAAGGGATTACAATAAGTAGTATCGTTTCTACTCACTCGCGCCGCCACAATTCAGAGTCAAAGCAAAAAGGGACTGTTCCTCTCGCCCCTCTATCGGTCCTTCGCCATCTTGTTCATTCTTTTTAGAGCTTATATTCAGAAAATTGTCCTTTTCTTTTAGGGTGGGTGAAAAGGAAAAAATTTACAAAATTTTAACGGGAGGGTGTGTAATCCCTTCGAACGAGGCGGTCGTATAATTACGATTGAACTTCACATAGGTAAGTTCGTTTAATCGTATAATTATACTTCCCGCCTCGTTCTCGGGATTACAATAAGTAGATTTTTAGAGACGACAATTTTTCTGAAACTATTTTTATTTATTTATTTTTTATAAACAAATTCCTCGATTAAGTAAATTAATTACTGATTACAACATTAAAGAAACTTAGTAAATTAGTTGTTGATTACAACATTAAAGAAACTTTCAGATTCCATGATTGGCCTGTTGTAGAACTTAGCAAACGTCGATGAGTTTTGTGACCAACCTACGGTATTTTGAATTACTCTTATATCTAGACCTTTCTCGAAAGCTTTCGAGGTGGACGCGTGGCGGGTACTATGGGCTTTGAAGTTTCTATCAACGCCACATGAATGAAGTACCTCCTTTATCCAACGACTTATCGTTTGTGTCCCTACTGCTTTATGTGGTTTTTGAAAACTAATAAATAAACATTTTTCTTCTCCTCTTAAGGATTCTGTTCTCTCGAGATAATTTCTTAAAGTTAAAGCAGCGCAAAGTTCGGGTTTTTCAGTGAAAAATGGAAGAACTAAGCAGGGTTGACACGCACCAGGTCTAGATGTTTTTACAAGGCTTTCGATTTTTATCTCAACATCATTATTCGAAAAAACAATAGCATCTAACGAAATCAGTGAAAAAGTTTGTACTCGATGACCGGTTCCTAAAGCCAAGAGTATAATTAGTTTTTGTGTAAGTGTTTTTAAATCTAATTCGTCGAGTGGAAACCATTTTGCTATTTTGTCCAAAACTGAAGACACATTCCAAGTTCTATTATATTTTGCTCTACTTGGTTTTAGTTTAAATATCCCTCGAAAAAATCGTTCCATTACAAGATCTGATACTTTTTTGTTAGATATGAGAGATATAGCTGAACGAATGGTGTTTAAAGATCCGTATGAAGATCCGTTGTTAAACTCTTCTGTTAAAAAACTTAATATGCTATTCGAATCTTGATCGAAAACGTCTAAGTTTTTATTTTTGCAATAAACCCACCATTTTCTTAACGCGCAATTATATTGTTTAAATGTAGAGTCACTTAAAGATGCTAATAGAACGTCTATAGTGTTTTCCGGAAGCTGCCTTCTTGCGTAACTTTCCCTGACAAGAGCCCTGCAGCCAGGGAAAGCGTTTTGGCTAGTGGATGCGCTCGAGTTCTGCAAGGAGACATTACAAGGTTAAGAGTAGGTTTAAATATTATAGGTTCTTGAACTAACAGTGATCGAAACACAGGAAACCACGGCTGTGAGGTCCACATAGGAACTATAACAATGCCTCGTGCTTGATCAGTTTTTATCTTTTTTAGCGTTCGTAAGATCATCGAGAAAGGAGGGAACGCGTAAAATAATTTATTGGACCAAGAAATAGTAAAAGCGTCCATTGCTATAGCGTAACGTGAATTTTCCCAGGAGCAAAATGCGCGACATTTAGCGTTGTTATCTGTCGCGAAAAGGTCGATTTCTGGTTTAAAAAACGTTCTAACAATTTTATTGAAAGCAAAATCATTTAGCTCCCATTCTGTGTCAAAATTCTTTAACCTTGATTGTTCGTCTGCTATACAATTCTCTTTTGAAGGAATATAGGATGCGAAAACCCAGATATTCCTTTTTTCGCACCAATTCCAAATTTGTTTACTTAGATCATTAAGATGGGGAAATTGAATTCCTCCCATCTTGTTGATATACGCAATAGCCGTGGTATTGTCCACCCGTAGTAAAATTTCACAGTTAGACAGATCTTCTGCAAATGATTTTAATCCCCAAAATACGGCTAATATTTCTAAGTAATTAATATGATTTAATTTTTCTGTTTCATTCCAAAACCCGTGAATCTTTTCAGATTCGTACGACGCTCCCCACCCTGTTTTTGAAGCATCTGTATAAATTTCCCGAACAAACTTAAACTGTCTTATCTGATTTATAGAGTAAGGTAGCCGATCCATCCACCAATGAAATTCTGAGAATGAAGAATCAGGGATTTTCATTCTTTTATCGTAATCGCCATTTGTCAAAGTTAATTCCAAAAATTTTGTTCTTTCTAAACTCTTAGTGTGAGCCATACCATAAGCTATTGCTGGACAACTTGCTACCAAGCGACCTAAAATCTGTGCAAATTCTCTTATGGTGCATGTTGTTTTCGAACAAAATTTATCAAGTTGAGAATGTAAAGATTTTCTTTTTTCAGACGGTAATTCAACGGTTAAATTATTTGAATTTATCAAAAAACCCAAAAAAGGACAAATTTTTGAAGGTGTTATATGACATTTTTTGTAATTTATTGAAAACCCTATAGATTCTAAAAATTCTATCGTTGTATTGACATTAATGAGACAATTCTCATAATTATTTGCTAGGAGCAGAAAATCATCAAGATAGACAACCGATAGAAAACCCTTATCTCTCAAATAATTTACTACTGGTTTTAAAGTTTTTGTAAATATATACGGACTAATGTTCAACCCAAATGGCAAGCAAACAAATTCGTATATGACACCTTCGAATATAAACCTTAGAAACTTTCTGTGTTCTGTGTGAATGGGTATATGAAAAAATCCGTCTTTTAAATCTAAATGACACATATAATAGTTCTTGTCTACTAACTTACAAGCTGTTCGTAAGTCCTCGATTTTAAAATGAGGCACTTTGATAAACTTATTTAAGGATTGCAAGTTGAAAATAAAACGTTTAGTTTTGTCTGGTTTATCGACTAAAAAATAAGGCGACAAAAACTGATCTTTTATTGGAGAACTAATGACTATTGCACCCATATTTCTAAGTTTACTAATTTCAGACCTCAAAGCTACGGTTTCCTTTTCTGACCAATTCCTTTCTACTGGTTGAGATGATTGTATTGGAAGTTTTTCGAAAGGTATTTTAAACCCTTGTATACAATTAAGGACAAACTTGTCGTGCGTAATATTTTGCCAGTTTTTTACAAAACCTTTAAGCCTACCGGCACTACATACCTCTATTGTTTCTGACGCGTTGCAGGTTTCAGGAACTTCGGGTAATTCGAAGTGGCTTGATGACGTCGCGATGTTGGTGCCGCTGTTGACTTGGATCTCTTGTAATCCGGATGGTTCATTCGAGATGAGTATCCCCTGCTCATCCGCGAAGTCTCGGGTTTCCTCAGGGATGAGCTCCTGGAGTTTAAAGGCTGCCTCGAAGAATTATTTTTATTTCCTTGTATGCCTTTCATATCTCTGCCCAGTTTTTCGAAAGTTTTCGCTTCCGTTACTTTTTCGTTTAATTTATCGCCGAAAAGAAAAGCTGGATTATCTGTTGCACTCTCCAATATATCTCGTACTACTTTTGTGTATCCAGGAGTAATAAAGGCACGCCTGGCCACTGAAATTGAATGAAACATCTCTGTGAGAAGTTTTCCCGCATCAGAAAGTAGTTGTAACTGTTTAAAAGGATCGAATTCCTCTTCTCCGAGCAAATCTGAAATCGCAAGTCCAACTGAGGACAAAGCAGAACCGACCAAGCGTTGCAAATCTTGGAAATGATCATCCCTCTTTTTTGCAACATCAGTCATTGGAGTTTTTATTTCGGGATTTAATTGAGGAGGCTCTAATAAGCAGTCTCCTTTTCTAGGATAATTTTTTAATAAATCGTCTTTAACTGATTCGGTTATTCCAGAAGACATCCAATGTTTCCATCTAGCCACGAGGTCCGGATGTAATTTAATTTCTTTTTGTTCATTAGAAGAAGGATTCTCTCCAAGAATATCCAGCTTTTTTGAAACGGAAGCGTTAGTTTGTTTGGACTGGTCTTCTTTGTCATTTCTAACCTCTTTGTCTGAAAATAATAACATTATTTGGATTAGTCCTGCACTTATGTGCAGGCTTTTAACCTCACTTTTGTTACATATATATACATATATACAAGTTGTGTGATCTGGATTTGTCCTGCACTTGTGCGCAGGCTCACCAGTCAAGAGATCGGCTTTTTCTCACCTTTAGAATGAGCTATACCGTCTAAATATGTATTATCAATTACTAAAATTACCTGGTTGACCAGCACTGTGAGATGCGACTCGAACTGATGCGGAACAGGAACGGGAACGTGAACGAACTCTATTCTGTCGATTGTGTATTTGTCCTCTCGATTCAGAATGAGAAGAATGCTCCGAACTACATGACGCTCTTCTCAATTTTGCAGACGGACAGCTGCCCGAATAATCTGACTCCGATGACGAAGATGGACGTTTTCGTCCATTTATTCTTCTTCTCAGACGTTCCACTTCCCTTTCTAAACGCTTATAATCATTTTTCGTTGATTTTTTTGAACGGTGTTTACCTGATTTTCCCATTTTGTGAAAATGTGATGTGACGACGCGAAGCACAAAAAAAACGAATGGACAAGATGGCGAAGGACCGATAGAGGGGCGAGAGGAACAGTCCCTTTTTGCTTTGACTCTGAATTGTGGCGGCGCGAGTGAGTAGAAACGATACTACTTATTGTAATCCCGAGAACGAGGCGGGAAGTATAATTTAAATTTTTAAGTAGTAGCAGGTCCACCCGTACGCTATCAGACAATCAAAATTTAGTAAAAAGTCATTAAAAATTTATTTCTTCCAAATTTAGAAATTCTAATCATCTGAAAATTACCTGAGTTCTAGTAGGGACTAAACCCTACACAATCCTGAAGAATAGAGAATTTTATTTAATTTTTTAAGTAGTAGCACCCTCACCTGAACGCTATCAGACAATCAAAATTTGGTAAAAAGTCATTAAAAATTTATTTCTTCCAAATTTAAGAATTCTAATCATCTGAAAATTACCTGAGTTCTAATAGGGACTGAGCCTTACACGATCCTTAAGAATACAGAATTTTATTTCAATTTTTAAGTAGTAGCAGGTCCACCCGTACGCTATCAGACAATCGAAATTTGGAAAAAAATCATTAAAAATTTATTTCTTCCAAATTTTAGAATTCTAATCATTTTAAAATTACCTGAGTTCTAGTAGGGACTGAGTCTAACACAATCCTGAAGAATAGAGAATTTTATTTTAATTTTTAAGTAGTAGCACCCTCACCCGAACGCTATCAGACAATCAAAATTTAGTAAAAAGTCATTAAAAACTTATTTCTTCCAAATTTAGGAATTCTAATCATCTTAAAATTACCTGAGTTCTAGTAGGGACTGAGCCTAACATAATCCTGAAGTATACAGAATTTTATTTCAATTTTTAAGTAGTAGCACCCTCACCCGAACGCTATCAGACAATCAAAATTTAGTAAAAAGTCATTAAAAACTTATTTCTTCCAAATTTAGGAATTCTAATCATCTGAAAATTACCTGAGTTCTAGTAGGGACTGAGCCCTACACAATCCTGAAGAATACAGAATTTTATTTCAATTTTTAAGTAGTAGCACCCTCACCTGAACGCTATCAGACAATCAAAATTTGGTAAAAAGTCATTAAAAATTTATTTCTTTTAAATTTAGGAAATCTAATCATCTGAAAATTACCTGAGTTCTAGTAGGGACTAAACCCTACACAATCCTGAAGAATAGAGAATTTTTTTTAAATTTTTAAGTAGTAGCAGGTCCACCCGTACGCTATCAGACAATCAAAATTTGGTAAAAAGTCATTAAAAATTTATTTCTTCCAAATTTAGGAATTCTAATCATCTGAAAATTACCTGAGTTCTAGTAGGGAATGAACACTACACAATCCTAAAGAATAAAGAATTTTATTTAAATTTTTAAGTAGTAGCAGGTCCACCCGTACGCTATCAGACAATCAAAATTTAGTAAAAAGTCATTAAAAATTTATTTCTTCTAAATTTAGGAATTCTAATCATCTGAAAATTACCTGAGTTCTAGTAGGGACTGAACCCTACACAATCCTGAAGAAAAGAGAATTTTATTTAAATTTTTAAGTAGTAGCAGGTCCACCCGTACGCTATCAGGCAATCAAAATTTGGTAAAAAGTCATTAAAAATTTATTTCTTCCAAATTTAAGAATTCTAATCATCTGAAAATTACCTGAGTTCTAGTAGGGACTGAGCCTTACACAATCCTAAAAAATACAGAATTTTATTTCAATTTTTAAGTAGTAGCACCCTCACCCGAACGCTTTCAGACAATCAAAATTTAGTAAAAAGTCATTAAAAACTTATTTCTTCCAAATTTAGAAATTCTAATCATCTGAAAATTACCTGAGTTCTAGTAGGGACTGAACCCAACACAATCCTGAAGAATACAGAATTTTATTTAAATTTTTAAGTAGTAGCAGGTCCACCCGTACGCTATCAGACAATCGAAATTTAGAAAAAAATCATTAAAAATTTATTTCTTCCAAATTTAGAAATTCTAATCATCTGAAAATTACCTGAGTTCTAGTAGGGACTAAACCCTACACAATTCTGAAGAATAGAGAATTTTATTTCAATTTTTAAATAGTAGCAGGTCCACCCGTACGCTATCAGACAATCAAAATTTGGTAAAAAGTCATTAAAAATTTATTTCTTTCAAATTTAAAAAATCTAATCATCTGGAAATTACCTGAGTTCTAGTAGGGACTGAACCCTACACAATCCTAAAGAAAAGAGAATTTTATTTAAATTTTTAAGTAGTAGCAGGTCCACCCGTACGCAATCAGACAATCGAAATTTAGAAAAAAATTATTAAAAATTTATTTCTTCCAAATTTTAGCATTCTAATAATCTCAAAATTATCTGAGTTCTAGTAGGGACTGAGCCTTACACGATCCTAAAGAATACAGAATTTTATTTCAATTTTTAAGTATTAGCACCCTCACCTGAACGCTATCAGACAATCAAAATTTAGAAAAAAATCATTAAAAATTTATTTCTTCCAAATTTTAGCATTCTAATCATCTCAAAATTACCTGAGTTCTAGTAGGGACTGAGCCCAACACAATCCTGAAGAATACAGAATTTTATTTCAATTTTTAAGTAGTAGCACCCTCACCCGAACGCTATCAGACAATCAAAATTTGGTAAAAAGTCATTAAAAATTTATTTCTTAGAAATTTAAGAATTCTAATCATCTGAAAATTACCTGAGTTCTAGTAGGGACTAAGCCTTGCACAATCCTAAAAAAAACAGAATTTTATTTCAATTTTTAAGTAGTAGCAGGTCCACCCGTACGCTATCAGACAATCGAAATTTAGAAAAAAATCATTAAAAATTTATTTCTTCCAAATTGTAGAATTCTAATCATCTCAAAATTACCTGAGTTCTAGTAGGGACTGAGCCTAACACAATCCTGAAGAATACAGAATTTTATTTCAATTTTTAAGTAGTAGCACCCTTACCCGAACGCTATCAGACAATCAAAATTTGGTAAAAAGTCATTAAAAATTTATTTCTTCCAAATTTAAGAATTCTAATCATCTGAAAATTACCTGAGTTCTAGTAGGGACTGAGCCTTACACAATTCTAAAGAATACAGAATTTTATTTCAATTTTTAAGTAGTAGCACCCTCACCCGAACGCTATCAGACAATCAAAATTTAGTAAAAAGTCATTAAAAATTTATTTCTTCCAAATTTAGGAATTCTAATCATCTGAAAATTACCTGAGTTCTAGTAGGGAATGAACCCTACACAATCCTGAAGAATAGAGAATTTTATTTAAATTTTTAAGTAGTAGCAGGTCCACCCGTACGCTATCAGACAATCGCAATTTGGAAAAAAGTCATTAAAAATTTATTTCTTCCAAATTTAGGAATTCTAATCATCTGAAAATTACCTGAGTTCTAGTAGGGACTGAGTTCTAAACAATTCTGAAGAATACAGAATTTTATATCAATTTTTATGTAGTAGCACCCTCACCCGAACGCTATCAGACAATCAAAATTTAGTAAAAAGTCATTAAAAATTTATTTCTTCCAAATTTAGGAATTCTAATCATCTGAAAATTACCTGAGTTCTAGTAGGGAATGAACCCTACACAATCCTGAAGAATAGAGAATTTTATTTAAATTTTTAAGTAGTAGCAGGTCCACCCGTACGCTATCAGACAATCGAAATTTGGAAAAAAATCATTAAAAATTTATTTCTTCCAAATTTTAGCATTCTAATCATCTCAAAATTACCTGAGTTCTAGTAGGGACTGAGCCCAACACAATCCTGAAGAATACAGAATTTTATTTAAATTTTTAAGTAGTAGCAGGTCCACCCGTACGCTATCAGACAATCAAAATTTAGTAAAAAGTCATTAAAAATTTATTTCTTTGAAATTTAGGAATTCTAATCATCTAAAAAATACCTGAGTTCTAGTAGGGACTGAACCCTACACAATCCTGAAGAATAGAGAATTTTATTTAAATTTTTAAGTAGTAGCAGGTCCACCCGTACGCTATCAGACAATCGAAATTTGGAAAAAAATCATTAAAAATTTATTTCTTCCAAATTTTAGCATTCTAATCATCTCAAAATTACCTGAGTTCTAGTAGGGACTGAGCCCAACACAATCCTGAAGAATACAGAATTTTATTTCAATTTTTAAGTAGTAGCACCCTCACCCGAACGCTATCAGACAATCAAAATTTGGTAAAAAGTCATTAAAAATTTATTTCTTAGAAATTTAAGAATTCTAATCATCTGAAAATTACCTGAGTTCTAGTAGGGACTAAGCCTTGCACAATCCTAAAGAAAACAGAATTTTATTTCAATTTTTAAGTAGTAGCACCCTCACCCGAACCCTATCAGACAATTAAAATTTGGTAAAAAGTCATTAAAAATTTATTTCTTCCAAATTTAGGAATTCTAATCATCTGAAAATTACCTGAGTTCTAGTAGGGACTGAGCCCAACACAATCCTGAAGAATACAGAATTTTATTTCAATTTTTAAGTAGTAGCACCCTCACCTGAACGCTATCAGACAATCAAAATTTGGTAAAAAGTCATTAAAAATTTATTTCTTTTAAATTTAGGAAATCTAATCATCTGAAAATTACCTGAGTTCTAGTAGGGACTAAACCCTACACAATCCTGAAGAATAGAGAATTTTTTTTAAATTTTTAAGTAGTAGCAGGTCCACCCGTACGCTATCAGACAATCAAAATTTGGTAAAAAGTCATTAAAAATTTATTTCTTCCAAATTTAGGAATTCTAATCATCTGAAAATTACCTGAGTTCTAGTAGGGAATGAACCCTACACAATCCTGAAGAATAGAGAATTTTTTTTAAATTTTTAAGTAGTAGCAGGTCCACCCGTACGCTATCAGACAATCAAAATTTAGTAAAAAGTCATTAAAAACTTATTTCTTCCAAATTTAGGAATTCTAATCATCTGAAAATTACCTGAGTTCTAGTAGGGACTGAACCCTACAC